GAGGAAGTGTAAAAGAGGGACTTTACATTATAAAAAACTCTATAAGTAAGAAGTTGGATGACCTCAATAGGATAATTAATAAGGTAGGTCTGGTATTATCAAATACACCTTAGTTTCAGGTACCCAGAGGAACTTCACGAAAGTTGGCTACATATTAGGTTACAAAGAAAGCCTTGTTAAGTTTGAAAAAGTAGAAATAATACATATGCCATTTTCTGATCACTATGTAATACAACTAGACATTAATATTAAAAATAAGGAGTAAAATGTCCCTATCACCTGAAAATTTTTATTGTTCATTTTCTAAAAGAAACTCTTGAGTCAATAAAAAATACAAACTAAAATACAGAATATTTAGAAAATAATAACAAACACCATAACATCAGAAGCTATGAGCTATAGCTAAGAGTAATATAAAATGTTTTTGGCTTTAATAAAAATTTAAAATAAAATAAGTAGGCCTCTAACTCAATAAATTAGAAAAAAATAACAAAACAAACCTATGAGAGGCAGAAGAAATAAGTGAATAGATACAATCAGAAATTAAGTTAGAAAGCAAACAAACAAACAAATACAGTAAAACTGATAAATAAATGAGAGTAAATGGATTTTTCTTTAATATGATAAAACATATTTATGTTAGCCCAAAAGTCAATATCAAGATTTATGGGGAAATAAAGATACATTTCCATTACAGTAAGGGATTTTAAGATGTTTAATTTAAGATGTTAACTGGTGTATGTGCCACTGTGGAGCCATGCCTCTCCATTGCCTGCTGGACTGTGTGCTACCTTCTCACTCTGCGGCCTGCAATAAGCATGCCCCACCCCACCCCAAACATTCTGCCTATGGCTCACGTGCCAGCTCTCAGCTTTCCCACAGTATATCAAAAAACCAGGTAATACTTTTTTAAGACCCCCTTTAAAAGCTTTATGTGCCTTGCTCTAGTCCATACTAATTAGAACTCCAATTAGCAAATGAGAAGGACCAGGCAGACATACACAGTCAGTGAAACTACAGTTTTCTGGTAGTGTTTCTTCTGATACTTCTTTATAGAATAAGAAAAGATATCCATTATCAATTAATTACTTCTAGATGTTTAAGAATTTAAATAGGTAAGAGAAAGTGATTAGAGATAGAAAAAAACAAAGAAGTTAAAACTGTCATTATTTGAAAATAATGTGATCACTACCTGGAAAAATGAAAATCAGCTGAAAAAAGGTATTATAAACAGTATGTGAGGACATGGTTCCGTAGTGTAGCGGTTAGCACATCTGCTTTACACGCAGAAGGTTCTGGGTTCACACTCCAGTGGAGCCATGGTCTGAGGTCTATGGCCATGCCACCCTGAACAAGCCTGATGTCTGATCTTGGAAGCTAAGCAGGGTCGGGCCTGGTTAATACTTGGATGGGAGACCACCTAGGAAGACCAGGTGCTGTAGGCATAAATAATAAATAATAATAATAATAATAATAACATGTGAACTTAGGAGGAGGCTGGATACAGCCCTAAGGCCATAATAGAGCACCTAGCTTCTTGGGAACCTGTCAGGAATCTAGTGGCAAATTGAACTCTATCAGGACTCATAGAGGGTGTGGTGATTTATATGCTGTGGAAAAAACATTTTTTCTGTATTTGGATTTTCTTTCCCAGGAGGTCATGCCTCTGACTATTTCACCATCCCTGGAATTACTGACTTTGTATAATACAGCGTGGTCCAGACGAAATTGTCTTCAACCAAGAAATTCATTTCCCAGTGAAAGAAATAAGACAGTTGGCAAGCCATAGGCCATTATCATATTTCCCATCCACCAGAAGCAGCTGGTCTTATAGAACAATGAAATGTTCTGAACAATGAAATGTTCTGGATACTCCTAGCAGTATCCAGGAGACTGCACCTGTGAGACCAGGATGGTTTCTTGCAGAAAGTGATATGTGATCTCAAACAGTGACTGAAATGCAGTGTTAATTCTCCCTCAGCCAATATAGAGATCCAGAAACTAAGGGTTGGGGAGGGGTGGATGGTGGCAGCTCTTACTTTTCTCTCTAAAAATATTTGCTTCCCATCCCCCAAGTCATTTGTGTTCTGTTGACTTAACTGCCCAAGGGTGAGGTGTTTTCACCAGGGAACGAATAAGGGTTCCACCAGGCCATTTGGGATTCCTTCTGCCACTAGGACAATGGCAGAAAAGGGTGTTCCTGTGATAGCTATGCTCCCTCTGATTATGAAGGGGAAATATGGTTGTTACTCCCAGATAGGGCCTGGGAGGGGCAGAGGTGGGTGCCTCCTTGCACCGCCACACCCAGTGGCACAAATTAACAGAAAACTGTCACAATCCATATTAACATTCTAATTTTCTTCGTTCACTATTGTATACATCAAGGGTAGCTAAGTCTACCAATTTGCTCAAGGTTTCAGGATGGTAGGAAATAGCCCTTGGCTAATGTGAAACTACAGAAAGAATGGGTAACACTTAGAAACTGAACTCTGAAACTTAGAAGGAATGTTTAAAGTGGTCTGAGATGTCACATCTGCATATCTGGATGTGATTTGGTGTTGCCTCCTTTTAGGGACGTTAAAGTGCATTTGTGGCTTTGATAACTGGAGAGGTAGAAAAAAGTACACACTGGGTTGCCCAGGGCTTAGTTCTGGGCCCTCTTTTCTGTCTACATGCTGTACTTAAGCAACCTCATCTAGTCCCATGGCTTTAAATAACTCCTCTATACTGATAACTCCTAAACCTCTTACAAATCCAGGCTATATATCAACCTGCCTATTTGATCAACTCCTCAGAGGCTTCCCAAGTGTCTCATATTAACATGTTCAAAGTAAAACTACTAGTATGTGGCTATCGGCATCTCTTAACCTGCTTCTGTTACAGTCTGCCCTTTTCCAATAAATGGCATCATAAGCCACCCAGTTGCTCAAAACAAAAATCCAGAGCCGCCTTGTCCAACATGGTAGACACTAACCATGTGTGGCTATTTAAATTTAAATTTTACTTAATTAAAATTAAATAAAATAAAAATTTTGTGTTCTGTTTTACTAGTCTTGTTTAAGTACTCAATAGAAACATGTAGCTAGTAGCTACCATATTAGACAGTCAGATACAGAACATTTCCATCATCGCAGAGAGTTCTATTGGACGGCACTTCTCTAGAGGTTGCCAC